CACACACACACACACACACACACACACACACACACACACACACACACACACACATATATATATATATATATATCAGATATCTATATAACTTACCGTCTTCGTCTTCATCCATTTCTTCCTCGTCTGTTTCAAATTTAATAAAGGTTGAATTGTATTAAATATATCTAAGAATTTTAATAATTAATATGCATACAATATTATTGTCGGACAATTTCTTCACAATTGTGCCATATACTACATTAGGATTTACACATATAAAGTATTCATAGTACTCACCATCTTCATCCTCATCTCCATCGTCTTCGTCTGTTTCAGAAAAAAATGAGATTCTTTGTTAGAAATAGTCTAATATTTCCCCGTAAACATCTACTTAAACGTCATGTATAATTATCAAATAATAATAACAATACATATTTATTCCGGTACCCTAGCGTTATTAATAAGAGTCCGTACATATCACATAGAAATATAACTCACCGTCTTCATCTTCATCCATGTCTTCTTCGTCTGTTACAAAGTTAATTAAGGATTAAATGTAATAATTAAGTAGGCCCTATATAAGTATTTCTATAATTAACATGCATACACATATTATTGTCGGAATATTTTTCACATTTGAGATATATGTACTACATTCGGATTCGCGCATTTTGAAGTATTTATATTACTTACCATCTTCATCCTCATCTCCATCGTCTTCGTCTGTTTCAGAAAATATTGAGATTTTTTGTTAGAAATAGTCCGAATATTTCCATGTAAACATCTACTTAAACATCAGTTATGATTATCAAGTCACAATACATACTCATTCCGGTACCCTAGCGTTAGAGAGCCCGTACATATCAGATAGTCATATAACTCACCGTCGTCATCTGCATCCAAGTCTTCTTCGTCTGTTTTAAAGTTAATGAAGGATTAAATGTAGTAAGTATATCGTAATATTTATATACCAGGGAAATATTCGGACTATTTCTAACAAAAAATCTCAATATTTTCTGAAACAGACGAAGATAATGGAGATGAGGATGAAGATGGTGAGTAATATAAATACTTTATATGCGTAAATCCTAATGTAGTATATGTCACAAATGTGAAGAAATTGTCCGACAATAATATTCGTATGCATGCTAACAAACATCTACTTAAACGTCAGTTATGGTTATCAAATCACAATACATATTCATTCCGGTACTCTAGCGTTATTAATAAGAGCCCGTACATATCAGATAGTCATATAACTCACCGCCGTCATCTTCATCCAAGTCTTCTTCGTCTGTTTTAAAGTTAATAAAGGATTAAATGTGGTAAGTAGGCCCCCTTATATCTTAATATTTATATAATTGATATGCATACGAATATTATTGTCGGAATTTTTTTCACATTTGTGACATATACGACATTTAGATTCAAGTGTATAAAGTATTTATAATACTCACCATCTACATCCTCATCTGCGTCGTCGTCGTCTGTTTAAGAGAATAATGAGATTTGTGATAGAAATGGTCGGCATATTTCCCCGTAAACATATCTACTTAAACGTCATTTATGAATATCAAGTAACAATACGCAATCATTCCGGTACCTTAGCATTAATAATTAGAACCCATATATATCAAATAATACACTACTTAACGCCTTTGTCTTTGAACATGTAGGCCTACCCCGCATGTTTTAGAATTCATGAAAAAAAAATGTTTTTTGAATATTTGGAAATATTCATACACTATAGATCAGTGCGGTTGATTATTACGGTGAATTTTTGGCACTTTTGTAACATATACTATATGATAGTTCATACTTATAAGATTTTATATTACTCACCATCTTCATCCTCATCTACGTCGTCATCATCTGATCGAGAATCTGATCGTCGTCATCATCGAGAATAATGAGATTTGTGATAGAAATGGTCGGCATATTTCCCCGTAAACATCTAACACGCGGTCGATTATTGCGGCAAATTTTCGGCACTTTTATGACATAAATTATATGATAGTTCATAATTGTAAGATTTTATATTACTCACCATCTTCATCCACATCTACTTCGTCTTCGTCTGTTTCAAAAAATAATAAGATTTTTTATTAGAAATGGATTGCTCTGGAAATGTCTACTTATATGTCTGTTATAATTTTTAAATAATAATACACATTCATTCCGGTAACCTAGCGTTATTAATAAGAGCCGGTACATATCATATAGATATATAACTCACCGTCGTCACCTTCATCCATATCTTCTTCGTCTGTTACAAAGTTAATTAAGGATTAAATGTAATAATTAAGTAGGCCCTATATAAGTATTTCTATAATTAACATGCATACGAATATTATTCTCGGAATATTTTTCACATTTGTGATATATGTACTACATTCGGATTCGCGCATTTTGAAGTATTTATAATACTCACCATCTACATCCTCATCTGCGTCGTCGTCGTCTATTTATGAGAATAATGAGAATTGTGATAGATTTGTGATAGATTTGTGATAGATTTGTGATAGATTTGTACTTAAACGTCAGTTATGAATATCAAGTAACAATACGCAATCATTCCGGCACTTTAGCATTAATAATTAAAACCCCTATATATCAAATAATACACTACTTAACGCCTTCGTCTTTAAACATGTCCCCGCATGTTTTGGAATTCATGAAAAAATGTTTTTTTTAATATTTGGAAATATTCATACACTATAGATCAGTGCGGTTAATTATTACGGTCAATGTTTGGCACATATATTGTTTGTAACGTATACTATATGATAATTCATACTTGCAAGATTTTATATTACTCACCATCTTCATTCTCATCTACTTCCTCTTCGTCTGTTTCAAAGAATAATGAGGATTTTTGTAAAAATGGATTGCTCCGGAAACGTCTAGGCCTATACTTATACGTCAGTTATAGTTGCAAAATAATAATGCGCATTTATTCCGGCACCTTAGCATTATTAATAAGGGCCGGTATATGAGATATTTATATAACTCACCGTCGTCATCTTTATCCAGAGTTTCTTCGTCTGTTTTAAAGTTAATGAAGGATTAAATGTAGTAAGTATATCGTAATATTTATATAATTAGCATGCATACGAATATTATTGTCGGACAATTTCTTCACATTTGTGACATATACTACATTAGGATTTACGCATATAACGTATTTATAGTACTCACCATCTTCATCCTCATCTCCATCGTCTTCGTCTGTTTCAGAAAATAATGGGGTTTATGTTAGAAATCGTCGGCATATTTCCCCATAATTTACATCCCTTAAACGTCAGCTATGATTATCAAGTAACAATACGCATTCATTCCGGTACCTTAGCATTAATAATTATAATTATAACCTATATATATATCACAGATATTACACTACTTAACGCCTTTGTCTTTTTGTTCATGTCCCCAGCATGTTTTGGAATTCGCATGAATGTAGTTTTTTTTTTAATATTTGGAAATATTTATACACTGAAGCTCAGTGAGGTTGACTATTACGAACAATTTTTGGCACTTTTGTAACATATACTATACGTGATAGTTCATACATGTAAGATTTTATAGTTCTCACCATCTTCATCCTCATCTACTTCCTCTTCGTCTGTTTCAAAGAATAATGATGATTATCGTTAGAAATGGATTGCTCCGGAAACATCTACTTATACGTCAGTTATAGTTTCAAAATAACAATACGCATTTATTCCGGCATCTTAGCAGAATTAATAAGGGCCGGTATATATGAGATATTTATATAACTCACCGTCGTCATCTTCATCCAGGGTTTCATCGTCTATTTCAAAGTTAATAAAGGTTGAAACGTATTAGGTATATCTATACGTATTTCAACAATTAATGTGCATACAATATTATTGTCGGGCAATTTGTTCACAATTGTGACATATACTGCATTAGGATTTACGCATATAACTTATTTATAGTACTCACCATCTTCATCCTCATCTGCATCGTGTTCGTCTGTTTCAGAAAACAACGAAATTTTTGTTAGAAATAGTTTGAATATTTCCCTGTAAACATCTACTTAAACGTCAGTTATGGTTATCAAGTCACAATACATATTCATTCCGGTACCCTAGCGTTATTAATAAGAGCCCGTACATATCACATAGATATATAACTCACCGTCGTCATCTTCATCCATGTCTTCTTCGTCTGTTACAAGTACAAGGTTTAAATGTATTAGGTATATATCTATATATATAAATATATAAATATATATCTATATATATTATATATTATATATATATTCGCGACATGTACTACATTATAGGGTTCATACTTATGGGATTAAATTCACACTTATATGGATACAATATAATTCAAATTTAAATAATTATATTTACATATTTACTATTTTTTTTTTTTTTTTTTAATTATCAACATAAGCACACGTTTGGCACTTTAAGTTAATATATGCGCCCTATATTTCAAATATATTAATAATTCGTCATCTCCATTCTCATCCACTTGTTCTTCACCTGTTCAATAGTTTGGAATTCAGCAATTATGTTACTCTCTTAGAAAATGGTATGATCACAGGGGCGTAGCCAGGATTTTCAAAGTTGTAGGCCTGACTATCTGAGCGGAGCGCCACCATGGGTTGGCGCGGAGCGTACAAGAAAATTTTTGGTTTTACAAACCCCCCAGATGGCCGGAAACGGCCCTTCCCGAGTGTTCATTCTGGTTCCCTGGCCTCTTGCTAACTTGAGACACCTCATTCAATATCACTTTTAAACCCAAAAAACAAACGAGTTAAAATAGGGTTACGAACGAGTTAAAATTTAAAAAACTGACAAGATCGGATCCTAGTCTTTTTCGGCGGGTAGAGTGTTGAATGAAACGGCACGCGATAGAAATGACAGCCTAGATGACAGAAGAATAGGTCACCTAATTTAGCCATATTCTTGCTACGTTCATTTCAATAGTTTTTCCTGTCTAGACTCTTAAACTCGTCCAGCAAGCTTATGGATTTGAATTATGGGTGTTTAAAAAAAAAGAAGATAACTTGGCCAAAAAAAGTGTAGGCCCGGGCCTACAGTGCTACATACTGGCTACGCCCCTGGATCAATGACTGAAATTTTACTTATTAATCACTGGTACGGGTTCTTTTATTATTATTTTTTGACGTAAGCATTCGTCGTCGTACTATAAAATAAATTATTCTGCCAAACACTGATATATAATGCCTTTCATCATTTTTCAGAAAGTATTGATAAGTAAGTTAATCCATATCATAATAACGTTTAAATAATTGTTTCAATATATAATATTTGATGATTCGACTTTATGTAGTTTTCATGAGTATCAGGTTCACATATTACTCACTGTTTTCGTTCTCATCTGTCATATTCTTGCTTCGCATTCCAAGCGCTTCAAAATGCAGTGTATGAATTGGTATAAGGTTAAATTGCTAAAGTTCACATCAGTGTCATATAAACATTCCCATATATATGAATTTCCCATATACACAGCTTTTCATGAAATGTAGCCAACTACTAGCAATAGTAAACATAGTTAATGCCTTTGATACACACCTGCTTTAACATAGACGTTCCATACATCGCCTCATAAAAAGGACATTTCGTCCATAGTATAAGTATCTTACACTGTACGAGCAATATTCACTAGCACGTTAGTTATTCGATATTTAATGTCCACAGCAATATAAACTCGCAGACAGTAGTACAACAGTAACATAAGAGAAACCCGTACCTTTCACTAAACATTGGAGTTCTGTAAGCACTGTTTCATTTTCTCCGGTTACTTCAAATTGGTTAAGGCCCGAACCACTGATAATAACAGGCACTGTTGGGCGCATATTGTTGGGATTTTTTCCTGGTTTGCCACTCCCGTTATTAGGTCTAGCAGTTCCATTGTTAGGCTTTCTACCACCATTTCCATTTGAATGTTCTAGATTAGTCATCAAGTGTTCCACAACGAACGTCTGTGGTTTTGTCGTTGCGTTTACAGTTATTTCTGAAACGATGCAAATATTTATTAGAAAATACCTGGTTACGGGTGTCACCAGTAACTTCCGTGCTATGTTAAATAAATCGATTGATTATAATTATATATAATATAATTGATATTAATATTGATATTATTAATATAACATAATTTATTATATTATAATAATATCGATGGATTGATTGATAATAGATCATACATGGTTATTAGGCGAAGCAACCCAAATTAATAGCGCAACTTGTTCGGTGCTCTTGTTTTTTTAAATGTGCATTTTCAGTAACACTTATAAAGGTGCTGGCTGCTGTATTCGATCGTAAAATGTATATGTATATAGGTAGCCACATTGCCATACTTACTTGATTCGTTATAAACAATCAATCTATTGTGACTTCCAGATATCAGCTCTCCATCAATATATACCTTGACGTCATATACACCTAGAGATAAAGTGAAATGTGTGCAATTAATATACATTTGTAGAAAAAAGAGAATTACATATTTTTCGTAATAGATTATTCGTGGACCAATAATACAATTTTGCGGTGCGATTACCTGTAGCTCTCACATCAACGGTTGCGCATATGTGTGTGCTGTTTTTCCATCGAGGTGTGATATTGGGCGGTACAGGATTATCAGTTGTGCTGTTTACCAGCAACATTGTGATTTCGGAAGCGGAGTGCAGTCCAAACGCACCTACAGCACATAGCTAGAAACACGAAATCGCATCATCCGCGTGTGATCATGAATGGCATGAAGAATATGAATGTCCTAACAGGTCCAGTTCTAATAACTGGCCAATTCTTTTCCAGTTAAGGATAGTGTTAAAGCTATCTCAACTATCGTAAGACATAAACACTACCCATAGATCTATAACGTATACCCAGCAGCGAAATCCATTGAAACAATCCCCCGACTCTCGGATCACCTGAATGTGCATCGAATTTAATATAAAATCAATTAAATGGAAATCTCCGGAAAGAAAAAAATCACACTGTTGTTCACTTGCCATCAGGAGTGAATAAGAACATGGTATGTATAAGTGCAGAAAGTGTTGAGAATTTATTAGTATCCACTCATGATGCGATAATCGGTAGATCAAAAGTATTTGTACACACATATAGATGAAAAAGAGTCCGCTGATACCCATTACGCGTTTAGAATTGTCTAAACCCTTAGCCACCACCATGCATACGTCCTTAATTAATTGTATAATACGAGCCACACGTACCTCGTTTCTCTGACCGGAAACGATAATTTTAGGGGAGATGTAGCTCACAATGGTGCAATCGCTGCTAACGCCATCACATACGCCACACGCATCAACAACAGCATCTCTGTGTAATAGAGAAATGCATTCATGCTGAGCAGTGTCTAATTGCCTATCTAACCAGAATTCTCTTTTATCGTATCGCATCTTTCAGAGTGAATAGGAGGTGGTTAGGTTATTTACTAGATACTTACTTTCATATAGAAAAAATGAAAAAGCAACTGTAAAATGTCCAATATCCTATAACCAAATCATAGAGACAATTCGACAAACACAGGCGCGCATGTACGTGCGCGCACACACACATACACACACACACACGCGGATGCACGCACGCACGCACACGCACAACGCCGCCCGCAGCCGTACGCGCACGAGACACACATCACACACAGCACACACACACACACACGACACACACGGGCGCATCACACACAACACACCACACAGCACACACCACACCCACACACACACACACACACACACACACACACACACAACACATATATATATATATATATATATATATATATATATATTACTATAGAAATCAATGTGTGCGCGCAGGGGGCGCATATATATGCGCGCAACAACATAGTTAAGAATACACTCAAGGTTTTATGCGAAATTCCATTGATTTTTTCATTTTCATTCTTATTCAATGGCTAACATTTGGTGCCACCTCGTACTATGCTTATTTCACCGACGCGTGTGAATTTCCAGAGCGTTTTGATTGCCCAAGCACGTGTGTAGTGAGCCGTGGCCATATAAACACATATTTACCGATGACGTCAGTGATGATACAACCATCCTGTTCACGGTACATTCATTATGCCAGAATCTATCAGCATCACCCCTCCTACAACCGTCAACTACCAGTGATAGTTGAAATTACAGAGCGGTCGAAAATAACATTCATACCTCGATACAAGTACCCAGGTTTGTTGACACGTAGCTTAATCAGTGACGTCATTCAGTACACAGCGTTCGCGCATTTCACATCAAATTGCAGGCATGATCCCAGTAATTTCTCACAATTTCTCAAGATGCACAGAAAATTTTTAAATTTTAGTGGTTTTACTTAGTCATGGACATGTCGCAGTAAATACTAACAATAGGTCTAGAAGTTTCACCTACGTTCACCCATTTCGCACACAGGCGGTCGATCATTGTAAAAAGTAGAAAAACGCTGATTTCTTCGTTTCGATTTCTGCGACAGTAGCCGATGTATAAATGGATATTTCTCTGTGATTACAACTCGGAATAATTTAATTTTACACTCGTTTTAATGGCAACATAGTGCTGTAAAAAGACTCGTCAGGGATTGTTATTAAGTGCCGTATTTTAAGAGTTAGATTTATTTATTTGCATACATTTTTAATCCGAACACGTGGCTTTTTTTCTCCATTTTTTTCGGTAAAATGATATGAAATTTCATGATTTTGTTAAATATCGTGTCGACGATTTTGCTTTCATACTCTTTGTGGTAATTGAGGAATATCCAAAATCCCATTTTTACATAAAAATTCCATTTGTGTTGTCACATAAATGGGTGCTGGAAATTTCATAAAATTTTTCGGCTTGGGCATGAAGATACATTATCATCTATACATTAAACGTGTGATTGATTGATTCATCATATTCATTGGTCAATAAACGTTTACTCTTTATCAGAGCAATGCCTGTACAAAAGCTTGAGTGTGTCCTTAAATGCAGCAGCCAGAGACCACATAGCACGGATATTTTACAAATTATAGAGGCATCTACACCAAAAGGCCGAAAATGCGCTCTAATCTATCCGAAAAAATTGCACACTCACCCTCCCACAACACCGAGACAATCGACGTCAGTGCAAGCCTTCTTGTCGCGAGCACAGCGTTCGCAACTACTTAGGTGCTCGCTCAGTC